AAACCCAAAATCCCTGTAAATGTTCATTAAAACTAATAAACTTTAATAAAATAAAAAAATAGAAAAAAGGAACACACCCAGGGTCATTCTATGAAGCAAGCATAACTCTAATATCAAAACCAGCCAAAGATATTACCAAGAAAGAAAACTACAGACCAATATCTTTCCTGAATACAGATGCAAACATTCTTTAAAAAAATACTGACAAATAGTATCCCAACAGCATATGAAAAAAAAATATTCATTATAACCACGTGGGATTCACAACAGGCATGCAAGGATGGTTCAACATAAGAAAAATCAAAGTAATTCATCACATTAGCAAAGCAAATATCAAGAACCACATGATCCTAGCAATTGATGCAGCAAAGGCCTTTGAAAAAATTCAATACCCCTTCCTGATTAAAAAACTCAGCAAAATAGGAATAGAAAGGAATTAACTCACCATAATGAAAGTATAGACGTAAGAGCTAATATCATTCTCAATGGAAAAAAATTCCAAAAGCATTCTCCTTGCAAACAGGGAGATGTCCACTGTCACCGTTCCTATTTTATATTGTATTAGAAGTACTTGCTAGGGCAGTACACAAGAGAAGGAAATAAAGGGCATCCACATCAATAAAGTGATGGTGAAACTGTCACTATATGTAGATGATATAATAGTGTAAACAGAAAACCCCATGGACTCAACCAAAAGAATTGGTAGAATTAGTAGGCCAATTTAGTTAGAGTGACAGGATACAAGATCAATATACAAAAATCAGTAGATTCCTCTACAGTAACAAAGAAAACTCAGAGAAGGAAACTAAGAAAGCAATACTGTTTTCAATGTTGTTAGGTGTCATTGCGTACAATTCAAATTAAGATACTTAGGAATACACATAACTAGAGACACACCTTTACAAAGAAAACTACAAAACACTTCTGTGAGAAAAAATAAAAGACCTAAAAAAAATGGGAAAACCTCTTCTGTTTTTGGATAGGAAGACTCAATATAGTGAAAATGACAATCCTACCAAAAGAAATCTGCATGTTTAATGCAATCCTAATACACATACCAAATTCATTTGTCTAAGAGATAAAAAAGGCAATTGGCAAGTTTATTTAGAGAGGATAGAGACCTCGAATAAGTAAAGTACTTATGAAAAACAAGAATGAAGTGGGATACATAGCATTCCCTGATCTCAAAATCTACTATATTGATGTAATAACCAGAACAGCATAGTACTAGTACAAAGACAAGCAGACCAATGGAACAGAATCAAAAAACTCAGAAATTTTCCATCTATCTATGGCCAACTGATATTCAACAAGGAAACAAAACCCATTAAATAAGGAAACTAACATCTTCAACAAGAAGTGCTGGCAAAACTGACTGCTACCTGCAGAAAGCTGAAACAGGATCTACATCTCACATTGTACACAAAAAATCCACTCAAGGTGGATCAGAAGCCTAGCGGGTAAAGCCCAAAACCATAAAGATAGTAAGAGACCAGTGGAATCAGGCTTTGAAGGTCTGGCCCATGGTATTAAAAGGCTGATATAGTAAAAAATACACAACCAGGAGAGGATAAAATTGATGAATGGAACCTTCTAAAGATTAAATCCCTGTGTACATCAGAAACTTTTCACCCCAACAGGGTGGAAAGAAAATCTACTGACTGGGAAAATACATTTGGCTATACCATCTCAGACAGGGGTCTCCTATCAAAATTTTACAGAATCCTCCACAAGAAAAAGACTGATAATCCAATTACAAAATGGGCAAAAGCCCCGGAAAGACCTTTCACAGAGCAAGACATACAGATAGCGAACAGGCACATGAAGAAATACTCAAAATCACTGGCAATAACAGAGATGCAAATCAAAACCACAATGAGATACCATCTCACCCCAGTAGCAGTGGAAAAGTTTAATAGGACAAGTAATAAATGTGAGAGAATATGCAGAGAGATAGGAACTCTGATACATTGTTAGTTGTTGTTGTTGTTGTTATGTGCCATCAAGTCGCTTGCGACTCATAGCGACCCTATGTGCAAGAGCTCTAAATGCTGTTCTATCCTGTGCCAACCTAGCCATCTCAAATGCACTTATTCCCGCCACTCCAGTCACAGAATTGATCCATCTCATCAAAGGTCTTCCTTTCCTTCACCACCCCTCCACTCTGCCAAACATGATGTCCCTCTCCAAGTACCAGTCCCTCCTTGCAACATGCCCAAAATATGTCAGACGAAGCTTCAAAATCCTTGACTCCAGGGAACACACTGGCTTCACCCTCTCCAGGACAAACCTGTTTGTTCTTTTAGCAGTCCATGGTATATTCAACACTGTTCTCCAGCACCACAGCTCAAAGGCATCAATCCTCTTTCTATCAACCCTATTCACTGTCCAACTCTCTGATGCATAGCACACAATTGTGAAGACTATAGCCCGGATCAGGCACACCTTAGTCTCCAGCCTGACATCATTGCTCTTCAGTACTCTTGAGGGGTCCCTCACAGCTGACTTTCCCAATGCAATTTGTCTCCTGATTTCCTGGTTGCTGTTACCAAGAGTGTTGACTGTGGAGCCAAGTAAATTAAAACTGTTAACTATCTCAATCTCGTCACCATCCATACTTATGCTGCCAATTGGTCCAGTGGTTAGAATCTTTGTTTTCTTGATGTTGAGCTTCAGTCCATATAGGAGGCTGTAGTCCTTGATCTTCTGCAGCAAGCACTTCAGGTCCTCCTCAGTTTCAGCTAGCAGGGTTGTGTCATCTGCATAATGCAGGTTGTTGATTCTTCCACCAATCCTGATGCCACATTCCTCTTCGTATAGCCCAGCGTCTCGCATGATCTGTTCTGCATACAGATTGAAAAGGTATGGAGACAGAATATATACCTGATGGACCCCCTTCTTGATTTTGAACCATGTAGTGTCTCCTTGCTCTGTTCTGACAACTGCCTCCTGGTATTGTAAAATGGTGCAACCACTTTGGAAGACAGTTTGACATTTCCTCAAAAAGCTGGACATAGAAATTCTATATGGTACTGCTTGGAAAATACTTAGAAAAAAGTAGGACTGAGACACAAACGGAGACTTGGACACCAATGTTCATAGGAGCATTATTCACCATCACAAGAACATGGAAACAATCCAAATGTCCAACCATAATTGAGTGGATTGAGAAATTGTGGTACATTCACACAATAGAATACTGTGCAGCAGTCAGGAACAATGATTTTGTAAATTACTATATAACTTGGGAGAGACTGGAGAGCATCATACTGAATTAACTCAGTTACATATGGACAAATACTGCATGATATCACTATAGTAAATATAGAAAGATTACTAGTAAAATGTGTCTGAGGATTCACGTTGGGGTCAGGATAGAGGATGGGCAGGGGAAAAATCATAGGGTCGTACAATTTGATAGATTGAGGCAGGGGTAGGAAAAGGAAATGGGAAAGATCCAGCAGGCAACTAAAAAGGTAAGGCAAAGCTGGGGGTGGGGGGTATTCTGGATTGGGTCCATAAATTAGTTTTTGGTTTTTATTTAAATTTTTTATTTTTGACTGGTTTTACTTACAAAGTTCGTATACATTGTTTTTCACACTGGATCTTTCTCCTTTCCTTTACCCACCCTTCCCTCCACCTATCAAATTGCACAACCCTATGATTAACCACACGCACACCCATCCTTACCCCTCTGCTCCTCCTGCCCCCCTCCTTGGTCAAACATTCTTTTAAGTGGTATAACACTGGTCTGTCAATTTGCTGTACAGAGGTAACTTGTGGTTGCTGTGACGCTAAACACTGTTGAGTGTTTGGTGGAGCTCCCAGATTAAAACAAACTTGGAAGCAGGAGTGGCATCCACTTTCGAAACAACTTGTCTCCAGAAACTATGAACTTAGAGAAATGAAAGTTACGCAAGTGTTTAGGTCTGTCATTCATAGGGTCACTATAAGTCATCTAAGACTCTACGGCACATAACAACAATAGTAACAATATCCAAATAATTGCTACTGCCATTCCTGGAAAGGTTTAGCAAATAATTCTTTTCTAACTTGCTTGAACCCAAAACCTGATACATTTAACTATAAGTCAGCAGTGAATCTGAACAGATGATGTTCCATCTGCAGTATTAATTAATGAGCAGAACTGTTTTCTGGTGAATGTGTGCTGTTCTCCTTCATCTAGAGAGTCACTTGCATGTGTCAGTGTCTTCACACCATGAGTAATGTGTCTCTGAGGAGAAGGCCTGGGCCCACTTACCTCCCCTTCCAGCCAGTTCCCTTCACAGGAGCTCCTCCCCACCTATTTGAATATGAGTTCTTACCTTCAGCATGTCAGCTTCACTGTGTGAAAAGGGACCTTATCTGGTCCATAGACTTGGTCACCTTATTTGTATCAGAAACCATGATTGTAAAAAAGGCAATTAGCAATGATGTACAAGGAGTTATACTGAGAACTGTAGGGTATAATTGGTGAGGGAGATTTGGGGTTGAGCTGGGACAAGTAGCAGCTACGAAGAAGTCCAGAAACAGTCTCTTCATTAATATATATTTACATGTTTATGTATATACATATATATTTATTTAATCTCCCTTTATCTCAGGACTGAAGAGTTTACTGGGTAAGTTAAGGACAGGCTAAGTCGGATTGGAGGAACTGGTTTCCGAGATGTATATTTCTTCCAAGTCATAAAAGCTCTTACTCTTCAGTGTCTCTATGAGTAATCGTAGGCGCTTTGCAAAAGAAAGCTCTTGGGGAATTGTAATAGAAGGTGGAGCAGGGGGTGAAAGTAGAGGTGCTGGAGGTGGAGGTGGGGGTGGAGGCAGAGGTGGGGGTGGGGTCCGGATTGGTGGCAGATTTTGGGGTCTAGGTCGGTTTTGGAATAGGAGTTGAGGAGAATGTTGGTAATACCAAGGAGGACGAGCAGAGGCAGGCCTGGTACTAGGGGGCCGAACAAGGTATGGCTGAGAAGTAGGAGATGGAGAGGTACCAGGTTGAATGTTGTGCAAGACGTTAGAACCAATCTTGGAAGCAATCCAGTCCAGGTACGACCAGGTAGATGTGTAGACACCAGGACGCTTGGCACGGGCACAGCCTACCCCCCAGCTTGTGATTCCCACGACCACGAAGACGTTTTCCACATTGTCTCTGCACATAAGTGGCCCGCCACTGTCCCCCTGCCCAGAAGGACATAGATGTCAATCTTGGCCCAATCACTTTCCCTTCCCAGTGGGGTCATGGGGCTCAAGGAGGACAATGTATGCAGCTCAGTGGCTTTCTGCTACTCTACATATGGTGGCCATGGTCAAGTTTAAAGTTGTGCCAACAATTCCAGTTGTAATTGAGAAAGATGTGGGTCATCATGGTTGGTTGTGGTGAGAACAGAAAGTCTACCTAATAGGAACATATGTGTTTGAGTGACTTTAAGTGTTTGTGTCCAGGAGAAGGTAAGCACTATCTTCAGGGTAGGATCTGGGTAGTGTGTTCTGTGTATCGGAGTAGAATAAAGTTTTCAGTGTAGTGATTGGTTCTTTACAGAAGCAGCTGAGTCACTTCTTATCCCTATTGTGATTGCAGATAGGTGAGGAGTCACTAGAGGGCCTGGGAGAAGAGAAGAGAGTGGAGAGCAGGGATTTGAACAAGAGGTGTCCCAGAGGGCCTTTGAGGTCTGGAGGAGATTCATGCAGAGGGATGACCCAGGGCATCAGAAGGAAGGTTACCTGGCAGGTGTCAATGTTGCCTTCAGGATACCCCGCGCACACATTGGTTGAGTGAATGTGCCCATTATACCATTCAGTCGAGTTACATAAATCGAGATCAATGAGGTTCACACGGGCTTCCCGCAGTATAGGTGAAGTCCTAGGGGCTATAGCCAGATGACTTAGTGGTCAGTGATCTCTGAAAGGATGTTCTGGGAAGACCCTGCCTCCTCTCTTCTATGAACCCCCTTGCAATACTCTATTTAAACCTCAAAATAACTTTTTGTAGCAGTCTACCTTGGAAGTAAATGCTCCGGGACTGCCTTTGTATTTCTGAGAGGAAGGAAATACACACCCCTCCAGAACCAGTAAGAGATAGAGGTGGAGGAAGATGTAATAAATACATGGACAGAAGTGCTGAAGGGGGCATGAATGGGCACATGATAGGTGAAGCTGAAGGGATGTGGGTAAAAGAATAGAGATGGATTGTGGAAGTTCATAGGAGTATAGCAGTAATAGCCAGCAGGGGTATGTTTTCAGGCATCATTTCATTTAATCCTCACAACAACCTTGTGAATTAGGTGCTGTGGCTGCCATTAGATGAAACTATTGAAGTATCACTTGCTCAAGATCATATTAATGATGTGACTTGGATTCAGACCCATGGTTTTCTCCTCTCTAAATACAAGCCCATCTTTCTTCTCAATGATATTTGTAATTTGTTATGATCCACACAGTTAAATACCTTTGCATAGTCTATAAAGCACAAGCAGACATCTTTCTGGTATTCACTGCTTTCAGCCAACATTTATCTAACATTGTCAGTAATATTTCTCATACTGTGGCCTCTTCTGAATCCAATTTGAATTTATGGGCATTCCTTCCAGATGCATTTTGATGATGTGAATAGCAAATTATGGATAACACTGAGAAGAATGGTAATCCCACAATGCTTCATTGTGCAACACCTATACACAAATCAAGAAGCAGTGGTCTAAACAGAACAAGAGCACATGGAATGGTTTAAAATCAGCAAAAGTGTGCATCAGGGTTGTATCTTTTCTCCATACCTACTGTGTACACTGAGTAGATAATTTAAGAAGCTGGACTATATGAGGAAGAATGTGGCATCTGGACTGGAGGAAGATTGATCAATAATCTGTTATATGCAGAAGACACAACCTTGCATGCAAAAAGTGAAGAAAATTTGAAGCACTTACTGAAGAAGATCAAAGAATATAGCCTCTAATGTGGATTACATCTCACCATCAAGGAGGGCAAAAATTCTCCTCACTGGACCAATAAGAAACAACGTGAGAGAAGGAGAAAATAAATGACATCATAAGTGATTTCATTTTACTTGGATACCACAATGAACAACTATGGTAGTAGCCGTCAAGAAATCAAAGGATGTATTGTATTGGCAAAATCAGCTGTCAAGGACCATTCCAGGTGATAAAGAGCTATGATGCAAGTTTAAAGACTAAGTTGTGCCTAATCAGAGCCACGGTCTTTTAAATTACTTTCTATGCATCTTTAACGTTGGACAAAGATTAGGGATAACTGAAGAAGAACCAATGGACTTGAATTGTGGTGTTGGCAACAGGTACTAAATATCCCTGGACTGCCAAAAGAATAAATCTGTCTGGCAGGAAGTGCAGCCAGGATTGTTCTTAGAGACAAGGGTGGTAAAACTTTGTCTCACATACTTTGTGCCAGTGCAAGAGGTGGGGGGTGGTGTGGTGTGTGGGTGAATCATCGTGCTGGGAAAGGTGGAGAGTCAAAGAAAGAGCATAAAACCCTAACTGAGGTGGACTGGCACAGAGACTTAAGAATGGATGTGAGCATGGTGATGGAGATTGTGATGAGAGCCCAGGTTCCAGTCTGTTGTTTATAGGATTGCTGTAATTCCTAGCCAACTTGGCAGCACATTAACAACAAAACTCAAGCTTAGAACACACCTCTCACTGCCATAGTCTAGCTTTGTCTCTTGCCAGGACTCTATGTTGGCAGGTAGATGAGGGCAGTGCCATTGCTGAGGTGAAGTGATGAGCCCATCTCACATGCCTTGAAAAGATCACTGAGGAAGTGGTATTGCCATGACTACACACACAGGCAGACCAGTCTGTGTAGAAATTACAAAATTGGCTCATGAGGCTGGGTCAGACCTGCCTTTACAGCCTGCATACCAGATCCTACACTCCAGTTCATGTTGCAAATGAGAAAAATACAGCTATGCTCTGGTGATTAGTGGTCCCACAGGCAAGACGGCCCCCAGAAGCAGCAGCTGAGTTGGTCTACTGCCAAGGCAGCACCTACAGCCAAGCCTGGGACTAGCATCGTCACCAGCCACGGAGACTGTGAACTATCACTTCTGCATTTGAGAGGTCAGACAGACAGAAGGCGCTCAGATCCAGACTGTGATGATGTAGCCCAGATGGAAATGCATTTAGCAGGTGTCTGGAAATGTTGCTGCACTCGTCTGCAGAGTTCTAATTGTTTTTCAGTGACTTCAGTTCCCACTTTTCTTTAGTGTCCCTTCAGTTCTAACTGAAATTTCAGTAACAACAATCCTGGCTTGTCAGCCAATAAGGTTACTTTTTAAGTGTGTAGGTTCATTAAGATCTAAGTGTCCTGTGAGAGAAAAGGGTTTGCCAATCCCGGGAGCTTGTTTGGCTCTGCATAACAAGGGCCTCATGCTGCAGGGTCTGAAGGAACCCTATATCAGTAGAAGGAGGGAAGGGATGCCCAAGCCTTTTCCCTTTGAGGAAAAGAGTTCAGAGGCAGCAGAGGGAAGGTCAGAAGCGATGTCAGGGAGTTTGAGAGACTAAGGGTTTCTTCAAGACTTGGCCTTAGATGTGAGGGTTGTATTTGCCAAAATAAAGAGAGGAAGAGAAACATTGTTACGTTTAGGGAGATTCCAGAGCAAAAAATAGGCTGCACATCACCAAGGTGAAGTCTGTGAGCCCACACCCTCCTGAGCAGCAAACTCAGGAAGATTGGGAGACGTCTGCGTGGGAACCTGAGAACATCCTCCCTGCTCACCAGGAGCTGTGGGTGGGTGCCATGGGCAAGAAGAGCCAAAAAGGCAGGAGTTAGACAAGAAGAGGCTGACCCTCAGGAAGCCATGACCAGTGAATGGACAGCTGGGGTGAGTCCCTGACAGACAGACAGATAACAACCCTATCAGGAGCTTAGAAGGGAAGAAGAGTGACGATCTCAAATTTACTTATTTAAAAAACACCAGCATCAGGATGGATGGTGAAGATATTGAGATTGTTCACAACTTTAGTTTGCTTGGCTCCACTGCCAACACTCTTGGCACCAGTAGCCAGGAAATTAAAATGCTATGGGAAAGTCCACTGTTAGGAACCTCTCCAAAGTACTGAAGAGTAATGGTGTCACTCTGGAGACTAAGGTGTATTTGATACAGGTCATGGTCTTTGCAATCACTTGTATGTGTCAGAGAGTTAGACAATGACTAGGAGGATAGAAGGAGAATTGATGCCTTTGAGCTGTGGTGTTGGAGACAAGTATTGAGTGTACCATGGACTGCCAAGAAAACAAACAGATTCATCCTGGTAAGGGTGAAATCAGGCTGCTCCTTGGAGGCAAGAATTCTGAGGCTTCATCTGACATATTTTGGACATGTTGTAAGGAGGGACAGGTCCTTGGAGAGGGACATCATGCTTGTGAGAGTGGAGGGACAGCGCAGGAGGGGACGACCCTCTATGAGGTGGATTGATGCAGTGACTGGGGTAATTGGGATGGGTGTGTTGGAGGCAGTGCGATTGGCACAAGATAGAGCAGGGTTTAGGGCTGTTGTACATAGGGTCGCTATGAGTCACAAGTGACTCGATGACACATAACAACAACAACAAAAAACACCAAAGATATCCACTTAGTTTTAAACACCAAATAGCTGAAAATCTCCACCAGCACGAGAGAGGAGAACTGGGTTCATTTCAGGTCCATCTTTACACCCTAGTGACTAGTCTAGAACTTGCCAATCACTTAAGAGTTGCTAGCAATGCCCTCAGCTGCCTCTGAAGAAGAGGTCCCTGCTGCCTCTAGGGTGCCCAGTCTCTAGCCCGAGGAGGGCTCAGCCTACAGGTCATGTATCTATGAGGTCAACACCGACAGCGGTTCTGGGTCACTAGGGGACTCTCTGTGAGCCTCGGTTGGTATAAGGGTCGGGGGGAACAAGGGCAGGAGGTGACTGCTTGGTCAAGGACAAAGGTCCAGGTCTATCTTGAAAGCCAACAAGCAGTAGGACCCCACTTCCAAGGAGCCTTACAAACATGGCATCTGTAAACTATAGACACCTACATCTGCCACATTTCCTCCTTTGGTCTATAGAGAAAAATTCCACAAATTATGTGGGTTGGAACTGGCCAAACACAGGGCAAGGCAGGAAGGAACACTGTAGGAAGACTGGGACATTGGTAATGACAGCTTGGAGATGATGGGACCACACCCTTCTATTTACAGAAGAAAAATCTGAGGGCATGGCCCAAAGGCATCGAGAATGCCTCTCCAAAGACTGTTTCAGACGTTCCAGCAGTAGGAACTCTCAGTCTCTTTGCAAAAAGTACCAAAAGGTTCCTGTGCCCTCCCCTTGCCCCTCACCAGCCTTGGACAGGAGCTCCATTCCTCTAACTCAGCTTCTCCAACTATAAAAGGAGACAATGGCACCACCTCCTCATAGACCTGTTCTGGGGATCAAAATGACTTGGCTAGGGAACCAGGGACACCCTTCCCCAACCCCTACACTTACCTTTCTCACGTTCAAATCCCCAACCAGTTACCCGGCAGGACTGGGGGACTGTGGGAGGCCCCGATTTGAAGCGAGGAAGGCAAGCTGGTCCAATGAAGGAGCCGCAGGACACTGGAGGGGTGACCTTGACGAGCGCAATGTCATTGCGTTCCTGTCTGGAGTTGTACCTCTCGTGGATGACGATCTTCTCCACGAACCTCTCCTGTGCAGGCGGCTTCAGAGCCATGTTGTTCCCATGGATGACTTCTCTCGTCCCCAACACCAGCCGCCACTGGTAGACCTTACTGTGGCCAGGATCAGGCGGTCATTAACTCGTGGGCCCCTTCCCGCAAGTGTGCCACTAGCCCGCCCACATCTAGGGCTACCTGGCCCGCAAGGACGCTACTGTGAGCACCCAGAGAACTCCAGTCCCTCCCCAGACGTGCCCCCAGCTCCCCAGAAGCACCTGGCCTGCACCCGGCTGCCCCCACACATACTTTCTGTGGGTGAAGCAGTGCGCAGCGGTCAGCACCCAGTGCGAGTTGAGCAGCGTGCCCCCACATGCGTGGTAGCGTCGGCTGTTGTGGATGGTGAAGAACTGGATGCTGACCATCCAGGGCCAGGCCCCACTGAGCGCAGCCTGCCCTCCAACGATGCGTAGGCTGCCTTGAAGGTTCTGCCGGAAGCGTAGCCCACAGGAGCCACTGAGGAGAGACTCCAGTCACAGCAAGAAGAGGCACAGTCCTTGCACCCCCATGGTCTGGAGTGTGGGGCTGGTAAAGGGGGAGTGTGCTGGCTCTGGAAGTTCTGTCAAGAGGCAGGATGATGATGACAAGGTTCCCAGGAACGATCTGGGGTGGACTATTTCGTGGATTTTGTGGATGTAGTCACAGGTTGAGGAGAGTGTGCAGAGATGGCCATAGAATGGCTGTAGGGACTTGAAGTGTGAGAAAGCCTCTGGTAGAAAAGCAGAGGAGGCTCTTTAAGGGCAAGGTCTCAGAGGAGGTAGAAATGGGCTATAGTTTTTGAAAGAGGTAGGGTAAGAAAGAGGTTTTGGGGACGTAGGGTTAGGGCTAGACAGTGTCGTTAGACATCAATAGTCAGAGCAGCCCACTGGTGTGGGGGACACTAAGAACAGTGGGGTTCTAGGTGGGATGGGTGCTGAGGTTGATAATCTGGGGCCTTCTGATTGTAATGGAGTCTCAGGATGGGAGTTTCTGGGAATCAAGACTTGTTGTCCAGCGACCACTAGGAAGCAGCTTAAGGGGACTCTGGGAGCCCTAGGAGCCAAGGAGTCCATCTCCATTGTGAGCCTGCTCAGTTGGGGGGCTGGGAGCTGCTGGGACCTGTCAGTGCTGGAACCAGGAAATGCTTGAGCTCAAGGAAGCGGCCTCAGGAGCCATGAGGCCCAGCGGCTGCGGAAGGCCAAGTTCTGCTTCTTTCCCTGAGTCCTGGACTGGCTTGCCAGACAACACCCTTACCACCACCAAGACGCCCTGACACTTACTCACACGTGCTGTTATCTTTGGCAGCCACAGACACTGCCAAAACCAGCAGAACGGCAGTTGGCAGCATCTCCACCATATTCTTGCCCAGCCTGGGCTGGAGTCCTAGTGACCTCACAAAGCTTCCTCCCTCCTGACCAATCAGCAGGGCCACACTGCCCACTCACCCCCATCCCCTCAGACAGGACAGCAGCAGTCCCCTGGTTTAACAGGGAACTTCTGGACTACCTGCCCCCTCTGCAGCTATCGCACTCCTTTATCTCAGATCAAGTCCTCATTGAAGTTTCTCTTCCAAAACCACCTCACCTGTAGCCTGGCATTGATGAGGCTCACAGACAACTCTATTTCAAGTCCAAGGTCCTTTTTTGAGACACGAAGCAGCATGTCAGTAGTTGCAAACCTCACAGTAGCTCCTCATTATTTATGGGCCCAAATCCTCTTCCTTCTTATGAGCCTAAGCTATCTGTAAGATACTTTTCAAGGAACCATTTTTCATTCTTTTAATTGATGGTGATAGGTCCATTGCTGTCTGTTGTTATGCATAAGATCTCATATTGCCTTTCTGGGTGTCACCATTTCCATTCTCTGGGACTTAAGTGCCACTAAGTTTTATCTCCTATAATTGAATGGTGGGGTTCTCTCACCTCTTCTGCATGAATATCACCAAGTATCTTTTATCTCATAAGGATATTTTATCACCTTGAGTATTGTAAGAATGTTTGGAGGTTACATCTCCTCTACCTGCATTATTTTCAAGGAAGCCATATCAAAAGACCAAGAGGCTGCTTCTTAATTTCTGCTCAATTATCATCATTCCTCCTCAACCACCTCTCTCCTAAGTGTTAAGAGTTTTTGGGTGTCTCAGATGATCTTAACTCATCAATCTGAGAAGTTCTCAAACTGAATGCCATGCTTCCTCATCTCACCTAACTTTAAAGAGATTGCATTCACCTCTAAGACTGCAAAAGGTCACATACACCTTAGCTGATTAACAGAACAATCTTCTCCCTCTGAAAGTGATGACATCCTTTATATTCATGTGCCCAAGGTGTCATCTCACCTGAGTGTTACCTTGTTGTATCTTCTCTATTTGAGAAAAAGAGATCTCATATTCTCTACTCGAAAGGCAAGAGGTTGTAGCTCATCTATATGAGAGTTCTCAGCTCTCAGAAGACCTATGGAATGCCAGGAGTTCTCCCTCTGCCTGAGCACTGGGACATCTCCTAACCGCACCTTCAGTATAATCTCACCTCCCTATCTAAACGACCAGAAACACTTGGTCAGCTTTTGGAACATCTAGGAAAAGGCAAACTGCAGACCTTGATACTGTTAATCTCAGACAGAGATAAAAAGGGCATACTGTATCTTACACAGCAAAGTCTGTTTGTTCTAAATACCATATGCTTTATATTCTGCGTTTGTATTTCTAATACAAATGGTTCTCAGTAACATATGGACTTTTAGAATTTATTAGAATCTTTGACTAGTATATATCAGCATAGCTACACCCTTCCATACACACTGCTTTAGAGAAATGAGACGTGGAAGTTGTTTATTACATGCAAGAAAAATATTGCTGAAAATCATTAAAAAATGGCTAGAACATTGACAGATAGAAAGAGGTCATGGCACCAGGGAATCATGGCTAGTGTGAGATGGATCTTAAATGAAAGCAACACCAGAAGAATGTCTATTTGTATTTTATTGACTATGCAAAGACATTTGACGGTGTAGATCATAGCAAATTATGGCTAACATTGAGAAGAATGAGTATCCCAGAACAATTACTTGTGCTAATATTAAACTTATACTTAGACCAAGAGCCTGTTGTGCAAACAGAGCAAGGGAACATTGCATGGCTTAAAATTATGAAAAATGTGTGTCAGGGTTGTAGCCTTTCTCCATACCTATTCAATCTATATGCTGAATAAATTATTTGATAAGCTGGACTCTATAAAGAGGAATGTAGTACCAGGATTGGAGGAAGGTTCTTAAAAAATGCTTTCATTCAGAATCCATTTGACATTAGCAATGATATCCCCAGTACCACGGCCTCTTTTAAATCCAGCTTGAACTTCTGGCAGTTTCCTGTCTATATACTGTTCTAACTGTTTGGGGATGATCTTCAGCAGTATTTTGCTTGCATGTTAAATTAAGAATATTGTTCACTCTCACATTCTTTTGGATCACCTTTCTTAGGGGTAGCAATAAGTATGGATCTCTTCCAGTTGATCAGCCAGGCAGCTGTCCTCTAAATATCCTGGAATAGATAGATAGATGAGAACACGCAGGGCTGCATCTGTCATTTGAAACTTGCCAAGTGGTATCCTATCAATTTCTAGGGCCTCCTCCATCCCAATGTCTTCAGTGCATTTTGAACTTCTTCTTTCATTTCTATTAACTCCTGATCAAGTGGTGGTTTTTATGTGCCATCGAGTTGATCACGACTCATAGTGACCCTATGCACAATAGTTCTAAACTCTGCTCTATCCTGGGCCAATCTCCCTGTCTCTGACACACCTACCCTCATTACCCCAGTTACTGTGTCAACCCATCTCATGCAGGGTTTTCCTCTCGTGTGCTGTCCCTCCACTGTTCTAAGCATGATGTCCTTCTCTAAGGACTCGACACTCCTGACAACATGTCCAAAGTATATGAGATGAAGCCTCAAAATTCTTGCCTCCAAGGGACAGCTTGGCTTCACCCTTTTCAGGAAAGACCTGTTAGTTTTCTTGGCAGTACATGATATGTTCAATACTCTTCTCCAGAATTATAATTTAAAGGCATCAATTCTTCGTCTGTCCTCTTTGGTCATTGTCCAGCTATCCAATGAACAACATCTTTAGGACTATGGGAGGTCCCTGACAGCAGATTTTCCTAATGCAATTTGTCTTTTTGACTTCCTGACTGCTGGGCCAAGACTGTTGACTGTGGAAACAAGCAAGCAGAAATTGTTAACAATCTCAATCTCTTCCCCATCTATCATGGTGTGGCCAATTGGCTCAGTGGTGACAAACTTCATTTTCTTGATTTTGAGCTTCAGTCTGTATTGTAGACTATAGCTCTCGACCCTCTGCAGCAAATGCTTCAAGTCCTCCTCAGTTTCAGCAAGCAAGGTTGTGTCATCTGCATAATGCAGGTTGTTGATGAGTCTTCCTTCTAAGTCTGATGCCACATTCCTTTTCATAAAGTCCAGCCTCCCAAATGATCTGTTCTGCATATAGATTGAAAAGATATGGAAACAAGACACATCATTAATGCACTCCTTTTCTAATTTTGAACCATATGGTGTTTCCTTGCTCTGTTTTGATGACTGCTTCCTTGCCCAAGTATAGGTTCCATGTAAGCACAATTAGGTGTTCCGGGATTCCCAGTCTTCTCAAGGTTAGCCACAATTTATTGTGATCCACACACTCAAATGCCTTTGCATAGTCCATGAAACACAGATAGACGTTCCTCTGGTAGTCTCTGTTTTCAGCCAAGATCCATCTGACATTGGTGATGATATCCCTAGAGACTTCTCTAGATCCAGCTTGCATTTTTGGTAGTTTTCTGTCAATGTACAGTTCCAATCATTTTTGGATGGTCCTCAACAGAATTCTGCTGGCATGGAGAATTAGTTATATTGTTGTTTGTTGTTGTTATGTGTCGTCGAGTCTCTTATGATTCATAGCAACCCTATGTACAACAGCCCTAAACACTGCTCTATCCTGCACCAATCACACTGCCTCCAACACACTTACCTCCATTACCCCAGAGACTGAATCAATTCATCTTACTGAGGGTCTTTCTCTCTTTAGCTGTCCCTCTACCCTCCCAAACATGATGTCCCTCACTAAGGACCGGTCCCTCACCAAAGACAGTCCCTCCTTGTAACAACATGTCCAAAGTATGTCAGATGAAGCTTCAGAATCCTTGCCTCCAAGAAGCAGCCCAGTTTCATCCTCTCTAGGACAAACCTGTTTGTTCTTCTAGCAGTCCTTGGTATATTCAACACACTTCTCCAGCACCACAGCTCAAAGGCATCAATTCTTATTCTATCATCCCTAATCATTGCCCAGCTTTCTGACACATAGCAAGCAAAAGACTACGGCCTGGATCAGGTGCACCTCAGTCTCCAACCTGATGTCATTGTTCTTCAGTACTCTGGACAGATCCCTGACAGCCGACTTTCCCAATGCAATTTAACTCCTTATTTCCTGGCTGCTGGTACCAAGAGTTTTGATTGTGGAGCCAAGCACACTAAAACTGTTAACAATCTCAATCACTTCACCATTCATAATGATGCTGCCAATTAACCCAGTGGTAAGAATCTTTGTTTTCTGTTGTTTTTCCCCATTCTCTGTAGAACAAGAACAGGTCATTCCTTTATTGACATGCATAAAATACATCACATTTTCTGTTCTGCTGATGCTATAAATTCAATACCAATTCTCCAGCCACATCAGTTATGAGCAAAAAGTATATCATGTGACCTCAAATTTCTAACAGTGGAAGGTTTAAACAAGAATGGATGCTGTTAAGAGTAATGCTGATTCCTTTGATGTGACAACTGAGAATCCATCTCCCTCCCCCTCAGATGATTTCTTCAGCATGTTAGAGCAGTGAGGAATGGTTTTAGTCTCATAACCCAGTTAGAGTGAAGACATTGGCCACATAGTACACATGCTCCTTTAAAAAAACAACAACAACAAAAACAAAAACAAAAAACACCTCTGAATCTTGGGCAACTGTTCTCTTGTAACTACTTTACAGTTTCTAAAAGCAGTAATTGTTCAAAGCTGGAAGAACTTAAGTCTTCTCAGATGAGCATGTGAATGAATGGAGGGAGGTAAACAAAAAATAAAATTAAAAAATATGAGGTCTGATAGGGGAACAGCCAGATAAGAAATCAAAAAAAGAACAGTAATTTAAAGTTTGTTCCAGCTATAATGCAGGTTATTCTGACTTTAAGGTAGCATCACATGGCATACTTCTGAGTCCATTCCCAAGATATTCTGTTGTATTTATCTCTGTGTGTTTTATAGATCCATGCAATCTCTGGCACTAGGGGGTCATCTGGGTTTGGCTCGCACAGCA